ACCATGTGTGGAGTGCACACAGCATCTATGATCTGATTGTCAACACAGCTGACAGTGGTTAAGGGTCGACATCCATGTGGAACCACCCAAATGAGCCAGCTGTATAGGGACAGTTGCATCTAGCCACTCTGGAGGGCAAATCAGCACGTCTTAGGACTGTCGTTAAGATGCTTACCCGGAAAGAACCAGCAATGTCATCATTCCTAGGATTCTGTACACCCCACAAGAACTCATGTATATGTTATCACAGAGAGAGGTCTAAGAATGCTCACAGCAACTGCTAAGAAGGATTTATTCTTCCCAAGCCACATGAGCTGAGAGTAAATAAGGGAGAAGCTCCGTGAAGAAAAATGGGGATCTTAAACCAAAAAATGAGGGTGCTGAGCAGGCAAAAACCACGTGGTCTCAGTAAATTATTGTAACAAAGGGAGAATTTGCACATAATATGTAAGCATAGTGTTCTGCATCTGCATATATTAACCCATTTAGTTAAGCAACTAATATTTCCCCAGTCTAGAAAGGAAACTGAGGTACAGAGAGGTCAATGACCACCTCAAAAGACAATAGTGAGGCTTAAACAGAGCAGTGAGGATAGGTGTTGATGAGCACAGCGCCTGACATACATAAGGGCTCAAAAAGCCCAGTGATTTCTGGCATTTTTGTTATTACACTAAGACGAAAATTTCCCATCCGGCCTGTGCTCCTCAGTTTCCTGAACTGACCCCGAGGTGTCTTCTTCTAAGCTTAGAAAGTCTCAGACCTTCACCAGCTAGGTTTCTCAGGAGCTTTTATTTGATCATGCTTGTGTGGTTCAGAAGTCGGTCTCTGAGTGTGGCCATCCCCTCTGACTGCCTCTGTCCCCCAGGATAGGTTCTAGGGCTGAGAAAGGAAGGCCTGGCCTTACCAGCCTCCAGCCTCATTTCTCGTCTGCCTCTTCCTCCCCTAGAACCTGGAAGGGGAGCCCCTTTCACTCCCAGGGGAGGGCATCCCAGGGAAGGCCATGCCTCTCCGTTCCCTTCCTGCAAGGCAACTGTACCCCGCCTGTCTTTTTCTTGGCAGCTCAACCCATGAGGTTCATTCTGGTGCTAAAAATAAGCTGGGTTTAGCGACTCTGAGGCTCTTGGTGGAAACATGAACTGCAAAAACCCAAGGCTGCCGTCTCCTCAGAAGATGCCCTGGCTTCAGCCCTGCAGAAACTGTGGGTCAGGGTATGTCAACAGACAGGCCCAGTGAGGCTCCGAAAGCCAGCTCTCATGAGTGACAGCCTCAGCCCTGTGCATGGTCTCATTTTGTCCTGCCCAGGACCCTTTCTTGGTTGACTCACACTATAGAGAGAAAACTGTAGCCTGAAAAGGGAAGACACCCACCTGAGCTTTCATGCTGTAGTTAACGAGGAGGACTTAGAGCGAGTGGAGGCAGAGCAGAAGGGGCTTCCTGCAGGTCAACCTAGGGCTGCAGATACATGGTCTGTGATGGGCTAACAGATATGGGAGGCAGAGGAGTCTTTAGGATTCCTTTGAGTACAGGGGTCTGTGAACCCAGAACCACTCAGCTGCCTCTGCTGAATTTGCAGTCTCCTGAGGGATTAGTTTCAGATTTAAGCTCTGGGTTTGGGGACAGTCCCTTCTCTTTTCATCTACCTCCTCCATTATTTCTTGGGGTCCTTCTGTGTCCCAGATGCTGGGGACCAGGTCACAGTAGTGCATACATTGTCCCACCTGCATGGAGCTCGGATTGCAGGGTTCTTTTCCTTCCAGCCCTGGCAGGATAGTGAGGGTAGCACAGGTCAACACCTTCCCTCTGGGACGGGGCAGGGATCTCTGAAGGTGGGGGTGATATGGGCCTTCTTCCCTGTCCTCCCCACCCCTACCCGCAAAGCCTCAGTGTCTTCCGTTCCCTGCCAGCTACTAACGAGCTCCATCTCCCATAAAGCCCATTCAGTGCCCACTTAGAGAAAAGGCATGTGGGTATAAAAGGAACAAGGACAGAGCAACAAAAGAGGCCAGACCCAAAAATATCCTCAGAGAGGCAAAAGCCACAGGGGACAGGACAGCCACCGTCTTTGCTGTCTGCACAACAGCCAATGTGCTGATGTGGCAAAAGGCTCTCAGGCTGCTAATGTGTGTCCAGAAGAGGAGCCTGTGGGGTGGGGCTTTCCTTGACCAACCTTTGCTCTGGACACTCTTCCTACAATTTTTAATCCAATCTTCCACTAAAATAATCTTTAGGGGGAGTCAAGAGTCTTTGGCCCACTGCACAGAGGAGGACCCTGACTGCTGGTGTGACCAGGTGCCTTATCCCCATCAACCAACTGGCAAGTGGAAGAGGCAGGACTTGAACCCACATGGACTTGTACCCAAGGCTCTTGCTGTAGCCTCAGTGTCTTGGAAGCAAGACTATCCCTTGCTCACCTATGAGAGCTTCTGGCTCTTTCTTATCCTGGCCCACTACAGAAAAATCTGGCAGATGTGTGTCTGCATAGATAACCATTGGACCTGGTTTTAAGCTAGTAAGAGACCTTCCTAAAGGGTCAGCATGACCATGAAACTTCAATGGGTCCCCACGGGGGCCACTGGAACACAGTCTAGATGCCTGAGCTTGGTGTGCAAGGCTCCCCAGGGTCTGGCACCCACGCTGTGTGCTGGTCCTCCTCCCCTCCTGTCCTGCTGTTCTTTCATTCAGGGAACTTTTGCTCCTCTTGCAAGACTATGCTCTTCTTTTGTAAGACCTGCCAGTCCAAAGACCTCTCTCTGGGAAAGCCCTCTTTGATACTCCCACACAGCTGAAGACCCTCACTGCCCTAGGCTCCTACCTCCCAGGAATTCTCACCCCAGGCCAACAAGCCTCCTGACATTTTAAGCCAAAGTCTGGGAACTTGGGACCAGTGCTTTTGGGGGGCATACATCCGTAGCTTCCACTGCTCCAAAGGCATACAAGATCAGAATAGATACGAGACTGGGAATGTAGACTTCGAAGTCAGCCGGTCCTAGACTCACAACCAGTGGCCGTTACTACCAGGTGACTTTTAATAAGTTACTTAATCTCTCTGATAGTCATTCCATAACCCTGTAAAGTGATGCGGGTTGCCGCCATAGAATTGCTACGAGAATCAAATCAGAGGGAGAGAGAGAAGAAAGAATAATGTATGGCACATATTAAGTGCCCAATAAGCATTAATAATATTACTTGCTGTCTATATTATGTATATATACACACACATGTCTCTACTCTGGAATTTATCATTGTCTATCTAGGATAGTTTTATTTCAGTTGTTTTCTCCCTCAGTTGGCCCAGAATTTGCTGAAAGCAGAGACTCTGACTTATTCCTCCATGCCTAGTACACACATAGTAAGCAATCAGCATGTATTTTTAAGTTAATGAAAGAATGGGTGAATGCCTGGATGGTTGGCGAGTTCAAAGAATCAATGGGCTCAGATGTATGTATGTATGTATGTATGTATGTATTATGTATTCATGGATGGCTTAATGAATGGGTGAGTAGGTGTACTGATGGATGGATGATGACAGACAAGTGGATGAATGGATGGACTGATGGGTGGATAGTTTGACTCCACAGGACATGGATTTTTGTGCGTCATTCATTATGTGTTTCAAATGCATAGGAGATGATACGTGCAGAGCAGGTGCTCAGTACTGAGCTCCTGAATGAATGGCAGAGTACCCTAAACCACAGTTAAACCCCAAGCTGCTATGTGGAGTAGGAGAGGCTGTCACAATGCAAATCTCCCATTGGCTGACAATTGAAACCCATTGCATTGGCTTAGATGGTCATGGGGCCCCCTGCTGGTGGTAATATGAAACATCATCGGTCTATTTTCGAATCCACTTTCTACCTGAGAAAGGGTGTTGTCTGGCTCACAGCTGTATCTCCAGCACCTGAGACAGCACCTGGTGTAGAGTGGGTCTCATGAAATATGTGTTGGGATAAAAAATGAATAAAATTGGGCAAATTCGGATCCCACCTGGCCTTGCAGGTAAGGAATGAATTTTTCACTAGGAACTACAAGTACACTTTTGGAGTAAGAAAATAAAATCCATGTCTATTTGACAGATATATAGGAAGTTTGACCCAAATAAAGCTGACCTTCTGTACCTGCAGGTTCCTCATCTGCAGATTCAACCAATTACAGATGGAAAATATTTGGAAAATAATTGCATCTGCACTGAACCTGTACAGAAGGTTTTCTTGTCATTATTCCCTAAGGTATACAGTATAACCACTATTTGCATAGCATTTGCGTTGTATCAGATATTATAAGATGATTTAAAATGTAGCAGGGTTTTCACATGGGCTCTGTGAAAACCCTGTAACACTGTATATAAGGAACCTGAGTGTTCAAGGATCTGAGTATCCATGGTGTTCCTGGGACCAATTCTCCATGGCTACTGAGGGGCAGCTGTATACCACTAGCTCATAAGAACTTGAACTTGACTGAGATAAAATTGATCCCAGAACTAGGGCCCCGTAGGACTAACCCTTCCCACCGCCCCCCCTCCGTATTTCCAGTTTGGCTTAAAGAAAAGGCAGTGTTCTGAAAGTCTCCAGTTTGGGCCCCTGTGAGCACTGCCCCCAAGAGGCCTTGAGGCACTGGTGGTTTCCTCCCCTCTCTGGGCCTCCACAGCCCCACTGAGGATGCTCAAGACCTCTTTGGATTCTGTGCTTTGTTGAGGGGCTCTTCACGCCTGTGTCCATGCTGTTTTGCAGGTGGCAGTCCTGTGTCCTGATAATTGACATCCAGCATTTGTTCCCAGAAGGCCACACCAAGCTTGGTCCCCAGATGAAGAAGAGACCAAAATCAAAGCTCTCCCTGAACTAATCCCACTCCAACAGGCCTAAAGAGCTGAGAAAGCACAAGGAGTGGCCTGCAGCTGCCGGGGACCCGGAACCCTCCTCCAGTTGGATCTTCAGAGTTCTTTGGAACTCTCTGACAGAAAGATCAAGATGTAGGAAAATGCGATCATCTCCTGAACGTTCCCATTCTTGGCCCCAAGAAGCTCACCTTTACCTTGGGAGGCTGGTGACCTCTGTTCTCCTTTCTCTTGGCCTCAGCCAAGCACTGACCTTGCCCACTCCCTCTAGCCTGTCTAACAATCTCCTCTACAAAGAGACTCAGACTGAGGATCCCCAGGAGTTCCATGCCTAAGGGTGACTTGGGAGACCAACCCCCTCTATCCCTTCCCCAGCCCACTAGCTGAGTCCTGGCCTGCCAGTCCGGAATGATCCCGCTATGGCCAAGCTCTGGTTCAAATTCCAGCGGTACTTCCGCCGGAAACCTGTGCGCTTCTTCACCTTTCTGGCTCTCTACCTGACAGCTGGGAGCCTCGTCTTCCTGCACTCAGGCTTTGTGGGCCAGCCCGCTGTCTCCCAGAGTCAGGCCAACCCCGCTGTGGGGAGCCCAGCTGAAGGCGCAGAACTGCCCTTCCTGGGTGACTTGCACCTGGGCAGAGGTTTTCGGGACACAGGTGAAGCCTCCAGCATCGCCCGCAGATATGGACCCTCGTTCAAAGGCAAAGACACCAATGAGAGAGCCAAGCTTGGAGACTATGGTGGAGTGTGGAGCCGAGCCCTCAAGGGAAGAGTGGTCAGAGAGAAGGAGGAGGAGCGAGGTAAGAGCTTGAGGGTCCAGGCCTGGAGGGGCGAAGGGAAGGAAGGGAAATTATAACAATACTGAAAGAACAGCCGTCTGAGTGCAATATTAAATAGGATCCAGCCTTCACGCAGTTGTAGGCACACAAGAACAGCACCTGCACTGCATTACGTTGCCATTTACAGAGTTTAAAAATTGAAACTCAGAGACACTACCTAGTTAGTGCAGGGTCACACAGCTAGTCGACTGGCAAGCTTGGATTTGAGCCCCAAGTATTCCAAGGTTTAATTTAAAGCTTGACCCCGCCCCCTGCAGCCTTTTTTCAGTCCTTGATAAATACACAGGAAAATCAAAACAGCCAGCATGTACTGAATGTTCCATGGCCCAGGTGCCATCGTATTTAACAGGAGTCAAATTAGCACCACAATTCTGTGTTGCTGCTTCCGTTCCCATCAAAGATGAAGAAATAGAGGCCCCAGGAGCCTAAAACATATGGCAACAAGTGATTGCACTTCAGCTCCACCAAACGGCACCCCTTCCCTATCCCCACCCCCGTCCCCCATGCTGGTCCCTTGGTGATGGCTCTCCAGGGAATGTCATTGTCCTGGGCTATTCCATTTCATATTTTCAGCCTTTCATTATCCAAAGGACTTTTCTTTGGTTTTTCACTGAATGTCATGGGCTTGAACAAGGCACCCATGATCGTGTGCCCAGTTAACAGATACAGAAACCAAGGCTTTCAGAGGAAGACACTGGCTCAAGGCTGCAGAACTGTTGGTGGCCATACTGGAGTGTAACTCTCATTCATCTGGCTGGAATACCTGGCTTTCTTTGGCTTTGTGCCCGGGTGTGCTGGCACCTTCTCATCTGATCAGCATGCTGGGGAGGAAGCCCAACCCCTGAGACTCACGAGATGAACACAGATGGATGTTGCGGGAATCCAGGCCACATGGCTTGGGAGAATAAAGCCTTAAGGCCCAGGGCGAACCTTGCTGACTGGGCCCTGCACTGCAACTCAGCTCCCAGACAGCCCGGGCAGCAGGCTTAACGGAGGGAACCTGCCCTTCCCCAGACCCACAATGCACCTGGCTCAGGACCTTCCAGAAGACCTGCCTCCCACTCTCAGAATCTCCTAGATTTCTGCTTCTTTGAAAACCCATAGGGAGGTGAGGGAATAGTGGGAGGGGCAGAATGCACCCAGGCTTGGATTCATAGTTAAGCTCTACCCCAGCCAGCCTTGTAGCCCAAATAAATGACTTCCCTTTCTCACACCTCAGTTTTGAAATCCATTAAATGGGTCTAATAGCTGCTCCCTTCCAGGCAGTCTTGAAAGTCCAGAGAGTCAGGGTCAGGAGAGTTCCCAGCCCATTACCAGCACCGTGCCATGCACAGTGGGTTGTGAGAGACATTCAGGAAGTGCTCACAGGGTCTACCTGGAGAGGGCAGCCCATCTCGTTGGTACAGGGATGGCGTGAGTTGCTGCACACTTTTCTACCTTCTCCATCTTCCTTCCAGCTCAACCTCACCCTGGCCACTCCGGCTCCATCTGGTCTTTTGAAAGCTCCAAAATGTTTACAACTCTGCACCTTAACATGTGCTCTTCATTAGGCTTAGGATAGACCCAAGACCCCTTCCAAGGCCACCTCCCAGCCTTCCTTTCCCACTCAGTATACTCCACCCACCCATTTGTCCTTCTTACCATTCATTGAACACACCAGGCCTGCTCCACCTTGGGATTTCTGTATATGCAGTTGCCTTCACCTGGGGTGCTCTCCTCCCAGATCTTCGCATAAATCCTTTTGTCTCTTCCTTCCTGTTACTACTCAAACCCTGGCTTCCCATAGATGCTTCCCAGAGTGTCCTAACTGGTCCCATTTCTTATTTGGTCACAACCACATTCCTCAGCTTTATTTTTTGTTGCAGAATTTATCTGAAAGCAATCTTGGGCATGTGTGTGTGCGTGTAGGTGTGGAGGGGTGTGTGCATGTGTTTGTGTGTGCGTGTGTTTCTTTGTTTATCATCTGCCTCCCCTACTTCACCGTCCGCTCTAGGAGGGCAGAGCATTGCTGGTCCTATTCAGTTATGTTTTGTCAGCACCTGGGACAGCACCAGCACAAAGATGGCGCTCCACATGGATGGACGATTGGATGGTTGAATGAATGAAGGACTCTCCCTTTGCCCAGAGGACCTCCCCAGGATTAGCTCCACTCCTCTGAATCTCAGTTTTGCTCACCTCCAGTTTGTTGTCCCTTCCAGGTTTGATCAAACACTCCTCCAGACTCTCATGGTTCATATTCCACAGGGGATCTATGCAAGCATAGGCGATCACTGTTCCCTGTGGAACACGGGCACCCATGGCACAGTGGATACACTCAACAACAGCTCCATGTGTTGTGTTGTGAGACTTTAATACAGCCATCTCTCCACATCCGAGTGTTCCATGCCCTCGGGTTCAACCATCTGCAGATAGAAAATATTCAGGAAAAAAATGCATCTGTACTTAACATGTCCAGGTTTTTTTTCTTGTCACTGCTCCCTCAGCATTACAGTATAATGATTATTCCTGTAGCATCTGCACTGTTTTAGGCACGGTAAACTTCATCTAGAGATGAATTAACGTAGACGGGAGGACTGCAAATACAATGCCATTTTGCATGAGAGAATTTGGTGTTCGCAGGGATCCCTCACAGATACCGAGAGACCATGGAGCACTACTTTTTGCTAATAATGATAATTACTATTTCTCGAGTTCCTACTTCATGCCAGTCATTGTTCTGCTTGGTTTTCATACATTAGAATGAAAGGATATGTGTAAAATGCTATCACATCTTGTTCATCGTTACAGGCCATTTAATAGCTGCTCTCAGTATTGGTGCAGACAATGTCTATTGGATGGTCATTATAATATGGTCCATATTATAAGCATCTCATTCATTGCCTTATTTAAGAGTCTCATGCTCTACCGACTGAGCTAGCTGGGCAACTGCTCATTGCCTCATATAATTATCACAGTTTAATAAATTGGTAGCTGTGGTTTTCCCATTTTACAGATGGTAAAACTGAGTCTCACAGAGAAATCACTTACCCCCGGTTACACAGGTAACTAATAGGAAAACTGAGATTTAAAACAAGCTCTATTAAATTCTGAGGCTTGGGAGTCCTCTTCTATACCATGCTAGTTGCTTCCCCACACCACCCCCCCAACCCGGCAACTCAGATTTTATAAAATGCGAGGAGAGGAAAGACAGAACACAATAAAGGAGCCTATACTCGGGGCGCTCAGCAGGCAGCCTTGGAAGCAAGCAGTGTTATTAAGTAAACATAAGTGCAGCCCATCCTTGATGGACTTATTCAGAGTTCAGCCAGGAAAGACAGCATATTAGATTAGCACTAATAAAAACGAGACACCTCTCTGGCCTGATACTAAACACATTTGGCTTTCTCCGAAGGTGGTGAGGATGTGGTGATGTAGAAAATCCAGAGCTCATCATGGATGGATGGGGGGAGGAGAGGAGCTGCATCCAGGCTGAGTTGGGCTGGGCAAGTCTGAAACTCTGAGTACAAGGAGCATCTACAATGCTGGTCATTTTACTGGGTCCTTTACTTCACCCAGCCTTGTGAGAGCCTGAGCACCAAGCAGCCAAATCAAGGTTCCAATCCCATGCCTGCGTCTTGCTGGCTGTGCAGCCTTGAGCAGGTTCCTTTACCTTGCTGAGACTCAGTCTTCTCTTTGGGAACAAAATGTACTTAACATCAGAATGGCTGGTGTGATGGTCACACAAGACAAATGGAGTGTGTGCTCCCTGAGTGTCAGACATGGCTCTGAGCCCACAGTCTCTACAGCAATCCAACGAGGTAGACAGTTATTAACTCCCTCTAAAAGGGAGGAAACTCAGGCACAAACACGCTACGTAATTTGCCCAAGGTTCCCCAGCAGACAGATGGAGCAAACCTGTTTTGAACACGGGTGGCTTTAGCCACCCCGTCGCCTCACTTCTCAGGGCACAGAAGCACTCGTGCCAAGTCTGGCAGGCAGTAAGCTCTTAATATGTGCCAGCTACTATTATCAATACTGGAATTTTTCAGAAGAAAACAGGTGTGGAGAGGCAACCTGACTTATCTGAGGTCACACAACTGGCTTGGGACAGAGGCAGGAATCAAACCCAATTGATTTCACAGCCTGTGCTAATTGCATTTCCCTCAGATTCCCAAGGAGCTGGGGCTGGCCCGAAGGCAAGGCGCAGGGAGAGTCCCTCTGCTTCTTGGGCAGGGACAGCAAGGCAGGCAGTCCCCATATCCTCCAGCTGAATATGCACTGGCCGCAGGTTGTTGGGGGTCTGCTCTGCGTCAGGGACCTTGCATCCATTCTTTTCCTTCACCCTCACATCAGACAGGAGATATTGTCGTATTTCAGAGATGGAGAAAGAGAAGCTCAGAGAGGTTAAATCACTCACCTAATGTCACACAGCTGCTAAGAGGCAGAGCACACTCCAACCCAATTCTGCCAGTCTTTTTTTTTTTTTTTGATAGGGCTCAATCATGCTATCTCAACAGCCACCCAAGTTCTGGGATTACAGGCATGTACCACCATACCAGCTCAAAGCCCTATTTGTGTGTGTGTGTGTGTGTGTGTGTGTGGTACTGGTTTGATCTCTGGGATTCACACTTGCTAGGCAGGCACTCTACTTGATCCATGCTGCCAGCCCTTTTTGCTTTAGTTATTTTTCAGGTAGGGTCTCACATTTTTTTCCCAGGGCCAATCTCAGACTGTGAGCCTCCTACCTACAGCTTCCTGCATAGCTGGGATGGCAGGCACATACCCCCACACCCAGCTTGTTGATTGAGATGGTATCTGGCTTATTACCCAGGCTAGTCTTGAACCTCCATTCTCCCAATTTCCACCTCCTGTGCTGGGATTACAGGAGTAAGCCACCACGCCCAGCTCAAAGCCTTCATTCCTAATCACTGAGCTCTAGTGTCTCTTCATTAAAATACACAATCTGCACGTCCATTCATTTG